GTCTAGTTAAACTAACAGGAGGGTTAAGGCATAACTGCTCCACAAATATCTTTTTCTTTAGTCATATTCTTTTGGAAGGTAGGAGAAAGCCATGCAGCATCTCTGAAATTGCCTGAAATCATAGCACTCTACCCGAGGAAGTAAAATTTTCTGTTAAAGATACTCCTGGGAGTTTCTTTTTCTTTTTCTTTTCTTTCTTTTTTTTAATAAATTAGCTTTGGTGTATTTATTGTTGTTTCTTTTCTTTTCTTTCTTTTTTTTTTTTAAATTTTATTTATGTGTGTGTGTGTGTGTGTGTGTGTGTGTGTGTGTGTGGCCAGCTCAGCCCACCAGGGCACGGGGCCGGCTGGCATGTGGTGCTGGGGGATTGAACCATGGTCTCTGTGCTTTAGCTAAGCTTGTTCTAAGTAGGTGCCTTAGACCACTGAGCCATCTCACCAGCCCTCCTGGGAGTTTCTGACAGCTTTCGGAAAACAATTATGGATCTTAAACAAAAGGTGCAAAGTTAGCATTGGGAATGTTAATAGTGAGGGGACTAACAAAATAAAGTCCAGGAAAAGCATGGACATGGCAAACTGAAAAGGACAGGGCCATCTCTAAATCAAAAATCAAAGCTTAGGGGCTGGGTAGATGGCTCAGTAGAATAAGTGCTTACCTGGCAAGCGCAAGGGCCTGAGTTCAATCCTTGGTTCCACCAAAAAAGAAAAAAAAAAAATCAAAGATTAATCTAAACAGTTTTTATAAAAGCTACAGGACATGGTGGCATAAGGCTATAGAGCCAGATATGGGAGAGGGTGAGGTGCAAGGATCATAACTTTGAGGTAAGCCTAGGCATTTTGTGGGACGATCTCAAACCAAAATTAAAAGTTAAGCATGGTGCCACATGCTTATATATTAGCACTGTGGAAGGCTAAGGTGAAGGATCACAAATTCAAGCCCACCCTTGAACTCAAGATGATCCCCCTGCCTCAGCCTCCTGAGTACTGGGATTACAGGGGTACACTACACTGCCTGGCCTAAACTTTTTTTTTTCGGTGGAACTGAGGATTGAACTCAGGCCCTTGTGCTTGCCAGAGCAGTGCTTATTCCACTGAGCCATCTCCTCAGCCCTGGCCAAGGTTCAAAAAAAGGTAAAAAGAAATCTAAATTAGTTCCAAGTTGCAAGAAAGCTATCTGCTTCCTTGCACCTTTGGCTCTCTTTGACTCCTAGAGAAAGGAATAAAATGAAATATCTTAACAAGAATACAGTATCAAAAAAAAAAAAAGAATACAGTACCACACTAGCCAAGGGCAGTGGCTCATTACTGTAACCTAGCTACATATGAGGCCATGGCAGAGGTATCACAAGTTCAAGGCCAGTCTGGGCAACTTAGCCAGACTCTGTCTCTAAACAAACAAACAGAACTGGAGCTCAGTAATAAAATGCTCCCCGGGTCAGATCTCCAATATCTGACAACAACAAAAAGAACCCATACTATCAGTCAGCATGAGCAAAAAGCATTCAGCACTGGTATTTCTTTCTTTCTTTCTTTCTTTCTTTCTTTCTTTCTTTCTTTCTTTCTTTCTTTCTTTCTTTCTTCTTTCTTTCTTTCTTTTTTTTTTTCCTTCTGGTACGGGGTACTGAACTCATGACTCTGAGCTTGCCAGGCAAGCACTTATTCTACTGAGCTATCTCCCCAGCCCAGCACTGGTACTTGACAACAAATGTGCACATAGTACTTTGGTGTCCATTAACAGGATGTCAGAAGACAGATTTTTCCTACTGGTTACTAAAGATATAAGAATAAGGTAGTCAACTAGCTCATTTTCCTATTCATCTGATACTATAGTTCCTTGTACTTGGCTCCACAAAAATATAATACATGTCTATTTTAGGCATTCCTACCACATTTTGTAGCTGGGGAAGTTTTATTTTATTTATTTTTTTTGCAGAGCTGGGGATTGAACTCAGGCTCTTGTGCTTGCCAGGCAAGAGCTTATTTAACTGAGCTATCTCCCCAGCCCCTTGGGGAAGTTTTTTTTTTTTTTTTTAATTTTTTAAAATTTTATTTGTGTGTGTGTGTGTGTGTGTGTGTGTGTGTGTGTGTGTGGCCAGCTCAGTCCACCAGGGGGCGGGGCTGGCTGGCATGTGGTGCTGGGGGATTGAACCGCGGTCCCTTTGCTTTGCTAAGCTTGTTCTAAGTAGGTGCTTTAGACCACTGAGCCATCTCACCAGCCTTTTTTTTTTTTAATTTTTAAAATTTTATTCCCTTGGGGAAGTTTTAAAGAGTGAGATAATCCTTGAAGAAAAAAGCTTGAGGTAATAGTTTGTCTTGGGTACTTTTTTTCTTTCTTTTTTTTTTTCTTTTCTCCCCCCTACCCCGAGCCCTGCATTGTCTTGGGTACTTTCTAATTGCTGGCTTATGAAATGATAATATCAAATGTGCACACAAATTAAAGACTTTGATGCCTAATTATATTCCACTTTCATATACATTCATTTATTCTATCTCCAAAATGTATCTCAAATTAATGGTTTTTTTTTTCTTTTCTTTTCTTTTTTTTTTTTCTTTTTCCTCCCTTCTCTCTTTTTCCTTGCCGTCTTTGGACTGAACCCAGGAGGGCCTGCCATAGTAGTCTGTTACTGAACTGTATCCCCAGCCCTTTTCTTTTCTTTTTTTTCCCCTTAGAACTGGAAATCAAACCTGGACTTTGGGCTTACCAGGCAGGCACGTTGCCTCGGAGCTGCATTCCTGGTCCCCCAGGCCTCTTCTTCCTTTTTTTGAGACAGGGTTTCACCATGTAGCTCAGGCTGACCTTAAATGTACTGTATGGCCTAGGCTGGCCTCAAACTTGAAGATCCTCCTTGCCTCAGGCGCCTGAGTGCTAGGGTTACTGTATGTGCCACTGTGCATATATATATATATGCATATATGCACTCAGGCCTTTACACTTGCCAGGCAGGTGCTACACCTCATATTCTTTTTTTTTTTTTATTAAAAGATGTCCATCTTTTATTTATTTATTTATTTATTTTTAAATTATTTATTTATTTGTGTGTGTGTGTGTGTGTGTGTGGCCAGCTCAGCCCACCAGGGGGCGGGGCTGGCTGGCATGTGGTGCTGGGGGATTGAACCGCGGTCCCTGTGCTTTGCTAAGCTTGTTCTAAGTAGGTGCTTTAGGCCACTGAGCCATCTCACCAGCCCGACCCCATGTTTTCTAAAAGGCCTGGAAAACATATAATGGGTTCCCCTCCTCTTGCCCTTTGTGTTAGTCATTTTGGCAAATTACTGGAAGATGGCAGTTCCCAAGAGTACTTATGAATGATGAGAAGACAGTTATATGGATGATTAGCCAAAAATCATCCTCTAGGGGCTGGAGAAATAGCTCAGTTGAATAAGCACAAGCTCAAGGGCCTGAGTTCAATCCCTGGCTCTGCAAAAAAAATAAATATAAATAAAATAAAATAAAATAAAATCATTCTCTGGTTCTAAACATTTCTATCACATCAAATACTTATATAATTGAATCTTTTTTTGACTAGATTGTGAATTGATACATTAATTATGCATCTAAATATGATACATATATAGTCAAATTTATACTACTTTCATGTCTTCTGAAATTAAAAAATAATAATGTAGCACAATTGTACATCTGTCCTCTTTGTTTCTTGGCTGGCTCAGGGCAGAGCTGGTGGTGTGGCAGGTAGTGCTGAATCATGGTCCCCTGAGCCTGCTTAAGCTTGCCTAAGCAGGCGCTTTAGACCACTGAGCTATCTCACTGGCCCTCTATTCTCTTTTCTTTTTTTAAATTTTATTTTTATTTTTTAAATGTTTCCTTTATTTATTTTTTTCTTTTTTTAAAATGGTCAGCTCAGCCCACTCTGGGGGCGGGGCTGGCATGGCATGTGGTGCTGGGGATCTAAACAAGGTCCCTGCATGCTTGCCTAAGCTTGCCTAAACAGGCGCTTTAGACCACTGAGCTATCTCGCCAGCCCCTCTATCTTTTTTTTTTTTTTTCCCAGTACTGGGGATTGAACTTGGGACTTTGTGCTTGCCAGGCAGGTGCTTATATCCCTGGCCCTCCTCTGTCCTCTTTTAATGCTACATCACTGTGTTTTTCTTTTTTAGCATTGAGGATTACATACAGGAACTTCACACTGAGCTACAACCCCAGGTCATTTTAAATTTTTCATTGTCTAGGCCTGGGCTGAATTTGTGAACCTTCTCTCTCAACCTCCCAGGGTTCTAAGATTATAGATAGGGGAGTACCACCATAATCAGCAGTGTTACAGCATTGTTAAATTTGTACCCTAACTTTATATTTTACTTTATATTTTACTGCTATATATTCTATATCTGCTATATAGAATAGTTACTCTTTTAACCCTTTATTTTCATTTTAAAATATTTTATTGTTCTTATTATTTTGGTACCAGGGATCAAACTCAGGATGTTATGCTTATGCCACTGAGTTATCATTCTGGCTCTAATACTTTTCAGAAATTATTCTAAGGGGCGGGGGAGTTGGCTCAGTAGAATAAGTGTTTGCCAGGCAAGTGCAAGGGCCTGAATTCAATCCCCAGTTCTTCCAAGAAAAGAAAAGAAAAGAAAAGAAAAGAAAAGAAAAGAAAAGAAAAA